TGACTTCAGCTAAGATTTTAGAATTTTTTACACAAAGGAATAGGTGTGGAGAACATAAAGAACCAGTGATGACTAGGCGTCAGCAGAGCCTCACAAGAACAAATTTGACTCATCACAGTTCTTTCTGCATGAGTCAGAGCTCCAGCAGGGAGCAGATGGCACATACAAGAAAGAGTATACCATACAAGCATGGGGCAGTGGTAAGGAAAACCTCGGGGTGACTGAGGGAAACCAGCGCCCCCCACAACAAGATTGGCTACATATTTTGTAAGGCCCCTTTTAGGACAGACTATGAATTTCAAAATAGGAACCACAGAGTACTAAATCAAATGTGGACCCTTAGATGTCAAGCAGCAGGGGTGCAGGGCATCTGAAAATCTGCATAGTGTCCCATTTTTTATCTCTTTAGGCAAGGGAGAGGGTTCACTGGAGGGACTTTCAAGCCTTTGGAAGAACTAAGCCACTTATCCTGTGTTAAACATACTACATTATGTGTGGCTGTAAGAAAGGAATCTGATGAAATGCAGGCCACAATCTCATTCCCTTTACTCTGCAAGCTCCAGTTAATTCAGGACAAAGGAATCCAGCTAATGCAGTACAAAGAGAACAGCTCCCAGGAGCACAAAACAGGGCAGAGTGGACTGGGAGAAGCAGGGAGGATGTCCTGCATATCTTTGTGAGGTCATGCTGTCAAATCTACGAAACCTGTAAGTCTAGTCTATAAGGAATTTACAAAGGCATGTAATAGTTATGAAAAGTTTATCTTGAAAAAGGTAGAAAAGTATGTTGTAGAGGCAAAGGTCAACAACGGGCTAAACCATTATATCCAAAGATATTGAAAGCTGGATAAAATGCAAACTGGAAGGGAGGTAAATGTGCACCACAGTTTGTCCTACCTAGTGCAATTATTTACTATTGACTCAAGAGGGGTTGTTTATCAAGCATGGTGGTTTGCACATTCCTGAGAAGGGCATTCAGCAACCAGGATGGAAAAGTTACAATCCAAAACTACGACAACAGGTTACAGCAATGGAATAAAAGATCTTGGCAAACAGGAACAACAGAATAGCTTAACAGTAAGAAGTCTTTGTATTTGTTCTCAAAATTAAAAGGCCAGAGGCATAGACTTAGGACAAGGAAGTTAATATTTATCATGTATTAAAGTGACTCAGACAAGTAGAGTGGAAGGTAAAGGCAAAATGAGTCATGAGAGCAGTGGATTATCCACAAAAGTAGATCTGATTTTAGGCAGCATTAATTTAACAAAAGAGGTGATAATCCAAATATGGAATTGTGTTGATTAAACCACACCTGGAAAACTGGATTTGCTTTTGAATGCTACAGATGTCTTGTAATGCATTCTAAGAAGAGCAATTGGAAACAGAGATGTTTAATTAGAACAAACCCTGAAAGCTGGCCTGGCTTTAGTAACTGATAAATGACAACTTGAATATGAAGGTTTTACTGCTCAACCAACAAGACAAATAAGAATAAGGGTCAGACATGCAGTGAAAAACAAGCTCGCTTCCCTACTCATCCCCACCCCCTAAGTGTGCAGGACAGAGAATCTGCATCAAAAATTCAGTCCTTTTGGGAGAGAAAGGGGACATTATCTCACAAGAATTCACATTATTACCACACAGAGCAGTTCTTGCTGTGGCACGGTGATATATTTCTGAATTGCCTACCATTGTGCTCATGGAGTTATAGCCATGCATTAACACACGATAAGAACCATGCCTTAATATTTTAAATAATTGAAGAGATTTAAGGCTAATGCAAAAAAGGACACAGAGACTAGTGGTATCCAAATAACATTAAAGATAGCCACATGGGAGAATAATTATGACAATCCTCTACTAGCTCAAGATATAAAACAGGGTATTAAAATATCATCAAAATCATATTTTTTCATAATATTTATTGAGAATTTTATATCATGATCCCCAAGCACACTCACTTCCCAGTCCTCCCAGGTCTGCTACTCTACCCTTGGGACCCCCAAGGGAAAAACGACTCTGATCTGTGTTGTATATATACTCACTGGAACTTGGTCAAACTCCCTGTGTCCAACCCCTTAAAGAAAACTGAGTCTTTCCTATCTATACCTCTGTAGAAGCCATCAGCTGTGGAGAGCTGCATGTCAGCATCCTTATCAAAATTGTTAACAGTGCCCTTCAATGGCTTTTCTCTCTAGGCTGTTTTTTTTTTTTTTTTTTGTTATTGTTGTTGTTGCTGTATTTTGGTTTTTGGTTTTTTGTTTTTTTTTCAGCAGGAGGGGAGGTGTTATCACAGAAGCCTTTTATGTCCCTCTTTCTCAGCTGGGAGTCTGCAGTCATCAATACCCTGGCAAAACTAGCTTCCTTCCCCTTTACAGTAGAGGGGACATACTTATTCATCTATATTTTCTGTCTATCTCAAGGAAACTTTATGTCACCAACTTTTATTTAGTGAAAAAAATTAAATGCTGATATTTAATTTGAAATTTACATTTTACTGCATGGGAGTCAAAATACACTGATATATATAACATGTGACCAAATCTGCTTTGAGGAAGAAAAATAAGTATTGTTATAGCAGACTCTTCAAAGGCAAGGGACTAATTGGACTATAAATTATTTACAAACACAAATACCTTATGGAGATAAGCTTTCTTTATTCTTTTGTTTTTATATATGTGTGTGCTTAGCCAAAGTACAAAGAGATGTTTGGAGGGTCATTTTTAAAAGATTATTAGAATAAGAAACAGTTTTCCATATTTTACAAAATAATATGTCAAAAGGTATTGTTTTATCTTTATTCTCAAAGATTCATAAAGTTATACATTGCCATAATGTGAAAATTACCTTTGAAACTGTTTCTTTTCCTATTTCTTAAACTACCAAAAACCACCTCAGAGAAACAATTTTAGCAAAGTGAAATGTACAAGATACTTGTCTCTATAGTAAAAAATTAAGCAAATGGAGTCACTTATAGATGGAAGACAAACACGATTCTTTATTGTTCTTGGTTATACCACAATCATAGACACAGTTTTAAAAGAAAACCTGCAGTGCTAAAAACTAAGGAGATTTTTTTCATGAGAGTTTGAGACAATCCTAGAAGAGAAAGGGCAACTGGACCACTGGAGAAAACAGAGTAAGATAAGCATAGTTCAAAATACCCTAAGAGGATGTGAGTGGAACCTTCAGAGAGTCTACCTGCCAAAAGCAACATGTACACTATGCAAAACCGTCTGGGGACAATGTCCCTTGCAGAACCACCCTGGAATGGTAAGGCCTCTTCCTCTGCCTTCCTTCCTTCCCAAACACAGAGATAATGGTGGTTTCAGACTTCAACTTTGGACTTTCAGAACAAACCTGACCGTTCTTCACACACCTGCCCAGGTAAACACTCTAAATCTCTGGTTTCTCTTGGTTCCCAGACAGAACACTATTCCATTGGGTTTCCCAAACACCTGTTTGGGTCTAAGATGTCAAAGTGACAGGGGAATTTTAATGCAAATTCCATCTGGCTTCATGAATATCATCCACAAGGGCACCCATGGAAGAAAAAGAAAGTCTTTTTTTTTTTTTTTTTTAATCCCTGGGATTAGACCTGCTTGAGTGAAAGACTAGGGGTTTCACATATTCAGACTATGCAAATGATAACACAGAAAGAAATAAAAACCATTACTTACACCAGGGAGAATGGGTACCAGTCACTCCAGAAAACAATTTGAGATTTTTGTTTTCTTTTCTGTTTTGATACTTTCACCATGTGCTAAATAATTCAGGCTGGCCCCAAATTCACTATATCCCCTTGTCTCTTCCTGCAAATGGAAGGACTATATTGCACGAGCTACTCCAGATAAGAGAGGGCATTTCTTGAATCATTAGCTGTACAGCCATCCTGCAAGCTTACAATGGCAAGACTGGGCTTATTTCAAATAAAGAAAATGCAGAACGACTCAAAACCTTTACAGGATGTTCAGCAGTGGTGTCTGTGACAGACAAAAACCTGAGAACAACCCAGCTGTCCTTTCAATCGGTGGCTTCAGGGAGAGACAAGAAAAAGAACAAAGCAGTGACACTTCCATAGCCAGTAAACTCACTGCCTAGTTCAGAAAACAGGTACAGACTTTAGAAAGTTGACAAATCCAGAGGACAATGCGGGGTGGGGGAGATTCCTCAAGGTCACACACTGTACAATTCCACCTACATGGAATTCCTAAAATGATAAATTGCGTAAATGGAGCTTAGCTTAAATGGTTACCAGGAGTTAGGGTATGGGACAGTAAAGGAGACAAGAAGCCAATGGAAGCACGAAGGCATTTTGTGGTGAGGAAACAGCCTGTATGCCTCGGTACAAAGATACCGTAGTCCTCAAAGATTTCATGGTTACGGGAAAGCTGGTACGTGTGTGGAGAATCCCTATTATTTCTTACAACGCACCCCGTGTTCTGCCAATCGAGGTCATCGTGACAGTAGATCACTGAGTACCAAGCTGGGTTCTACCCTCCAGAACGGATCCTCCCCACAATGGAATCAAAATGAGAACATCATCAACTGGAGTGAGGATCCCGGTAAAGAAAACAGCAAGAGTAAGCACCCTCAAGGCATTCCAGATGGAGCTGGGGACATTAGCAAGAGGCTGGTGGCTGAGAAGAACTTAGCCTGGCCAACACCCAGGCTGAGGCTGCTCTAGCCAGGAGGATCCTGCAAGAGTGGCCCAAGTACCCAGGACATCCGCTTGCCCTACCCAAGCTGGGGGCCCCAGCTTCCTGCCGGGGTGCTGCACAGCTCCTCCGCCAGGTGGAGCCTGTACTCACGTAATGCTTCCCAGGGTTCAGAGGTCACGCCGCCGTGGGCTGTGGCGAACCGGATGAGGCAGCCTGAGGCTATAGGAGCTCGAGCTCACTGTCCAGCAGCCTACGGCCCGAAGGTTGCACCCAGCGCCGTTCTGTGAGCTTCTAAGCTTCCCCCTGAGCTCCCTCCAAGGCTTCCCACTAGGAAGTCATCATGCCCCACCTCCGAGCTCACGAAGTCAAGCAGCTCTTACACAACAAATATGTTGTCGTCCTGGGGGACTCCATCCAGCGCGCCGTGTACAAGGACCTGGTGCTCCTGCTCCAGAAGGACTGTCTGCTGTCTTCCAGTCAGCTGAAGAGCAAGGGTGAGCTGAGCTTCGAGCACGACGTGCTGCTGGAGGGCGGCAGGTGGGGACGCATGCACAATGGTACTCACTACCGCGAG